TAAGTACAGCCCTGCAGCTTGACATAAAAACAATTCTCAAACATAGCGTTTGTCAACATAGATATAAATGAGAGAACCTACCCTAGATCAGCTTCCAGAAGGTACAATCGTCCAATCGTTCGTTTACTATCGCCATTTCATTTATTTATTTTAACCATTTCCTCTTCTCCATGAACTCTCCGGCACATTGTACGAGGAGCGGTCCGAAAACAAAAATAACAAAAACCCACTATTCAATTCGAATACCGCGTTCTCTTCCCATGAGTCCTGGACGCGAAAACCGATCGGCGGCGGGGTCCGCGCCCTGCACAGTGTTTTTTGCCTCATCATCGCCACCATTCCGGAACGCATTCATAGCATGAGAGAAGAAAAAAAAGGTGGACGAAACGAAATTGCAGAGCCACAGAGAAAGAAAAATATGGTTGGAATAATAAAAATCGTTTACCGACGTTTTTTTATTGCCCGTATTCAACGTTACCTGGAAGAAATTTACGAAATAATATTTTTAGCACGCCTTCGAATCAAGGGGCAAGGCAACTTAGATATATTTGAAAATATCATCAAATATTTCTAAATATCAACCAACATATTTAATGCAAATATTCGAACATGTCAAAACATATTTTGATGTATTCAGCCGAGGTGTCCCGCCCCTGCTTCAAACGCAAGATTCCAACAACGCAAACCTTTGCGTCAGAAACAGCATCGCAGGGGTGGCGGCCGGCGAGTGGAATCGTCAAAAAAAAAAACGCACGCTGCTGAAGCTCGCAACCTGGACCTGGACGGACGATTGCTTTGATGGTCTCTCGCATCCGCAATTTGGTATTGTAATTTGAAATAACACTTTTCCTGGCGTCGCTCCGCGTTTCGCTTCCCCCGCCCCGGTGCTCAAGTCGGTCCATTATTTTGTTTTGCAATTACTTTTTCCCCCTTTTTTTCTTTTAAGCTACCGTGTCCGCAAGCGAAGGAAGCAGGCAACTTGTCGAACCTACCTCAAGATGAAGAAAGATGCGACCGCACGAGCAACGGTGTGAGATCGGTTTTGTTGATTTGGTGGCACATTCGGTTGTCAGTTTAGTGGTGTCTAAAGGGGCAGCAAATGGTGGCTAAATATGTTTACACTCAACATGTTTGCCGTAGGTCAAATTACGTGCAGGCCAACAATGCACCTCGTGGGCAAGTTGAAATCAATGACCGAAGATCCCAAGAGGATCTCCCCAGGGTAAGAAAAACTTGAGCCGAACGAACTTTGATTGAATCATCGATGTTATAAGAGTGATGCCAAAAGTACCAATCGAAATTTCAAGTGTGGTTCCAAACGAGCAAAGCAAATTGACCCTAGTGGCAAAAGTAAGAATTAAGGTGAATGTATATTCGTAACCTGCATTAGAAAAAAATTCAAGTGCAAGTGCGAGTTTTATTGCTGCGCAAATAAACAAGGTGTTACCAACAATCAATACGAAACTAACGATTTTGAATTGGCTCACTACTTGACTAGCCTATTGGTCCCAAGCAAATTGACTAGCGTAGCCCATTCTAGCCAAAATTCTAGCACTACACTATGTTTGTTTTGATTCGCTATGAAAGTTTGACAGATAAAATGAGGGGTTAGTGGATTTTCCTATGTTTCGAGGAGTGAATCGATCGAAGGTCCTCGATTAGCTTGGGACCGAAGAAAGTACCAGAGCTGAGCCAAAAAGTTGAGCTCGTTTCTTCAGGAACTTCTGGTCTTAGAGTTACCTCTATGGTGTTACCAAGCGAAAATCTTTTCACCATTTTCATAAGGATGAATTGCCCGAACCACAGGAAATTTTCTTCTCACGTGGAGTCCAAGCGCTTGCAACGAAAAAGTTATGTTCCGACCACTTCCACCGGAGGCTTTTCGAATTCCTGGAAGAACGGATGCAGGGTAAGCACCCGAATAGAAATTTACATTAGCCCAACGTTTGATTTTGATGTCTACATCAGCATCGAAATCAAATGTATGCCTGATGTCAAACATTAGAAAACATTATGATTTAGTTGTATTTAAGCAACGTAACATGGTGTATACATCAGAAATTTTGGAACAAAATTTTGCCATTCTAATGTCGGTCTGACGTCAAAAATTTCAATCTATTGACATTAGAACCAAACGTTTTAAGGATGTTTTCGGATGTACAAAACGTTAGAACTAAACGTTGTTCGGATGTTTTTAAATGTAAACGTTTTCTGATGTTTTCTAATGTAGATGTTTCCTGATGTTAGAACCAAACGTTTTTGGATGTTTTCGGATGTACATAACGTTAGAACTAAACGTTGTTCGGATGTTTTTATATGTAAATGTATTCTGATGTTTTCTAACGTAGATGTTTCCCGATGCTAGAACCAAACATTTTTTGGATGTTTTCGGATGTACACAACGTTAGAACTAAACGTTGTTCGGATGTTTTCAATTGTACTTCGTGTTTGTTGTTCTCTGATGTTTTCAGATGTAGATGTTTACTAATGTTTTTAGAAGTACAAAACACTAGAATCTTACTTTTCAAATGCTTTCAATTATATTTACAATACATTAGAATTGGAAACATGATCGTGTAAACACTACACACCATTGTTGTTAGATAACATCATAAAAATGCGTACATAATAGTCAATGCTGAAGCTCCCGTTTCCCACCAGTCAGATAACTGACCTTAGCTAACCAAATATCATTGCGGCAACTCTCTATGCGGCAGGGGAACTATGCCATTAGCGCGCTAAGAGTTATTAGACCACTGACATAGGCGCCAATTTGTAGGTGACGAGGCACTTGGTGACATTACAGCGAGCTTGACGATTGTTGTAGCATTTTTTTAGCAAACTACCAGTTAAGGTGTGTAGTGTTTACAAGATCATGTTTCTAACTCTAATGCTTTGTACAATTGAAAGCATTGGAAAAGTTAATTATCATGTTTTGCATAACCGAAACCATCAGAAAACATAAAATAGTACAAAAAAAAGTTGGAAGGGTTGTATACTAGATACGACCGCAGGGTTGGCGTTGGATAACGTCTGTTATGTGTTGTATTTAATTGTGTATATTATATTTTAGGAATATTCCTTAATAACTCTTTTGCGAAAGTTTGGTGGCCCTGAAAAGGGCCGTTTTGTTGGGCTGATGTTGTTGGGTTTGCTCTACTCTGTCGCCCTGGAGGAGCTTTGGAATGATGTTGGTAGTTCGAAGACAGACAGCATCTCCCCTTCCAGCGTTCCCACACCCCAGTATAGTCCCCAAATTTAAGTGTAACTGTGATATTCTGGAAAGAAATTGTCTTCAAAACTAACTCTTTGTCGAATTATTGGTGGCCCTGAAAAGGGCCGTTTTGGTTGTGGTTTTGGAATGATAGACTGAATAAATGATTATGTTTGAAAAATTTCAGTTTTTGCTCCGATCAACAACCATACGGGGCAATATGAGCACCCTAGTAAAAGTTAAGGTTTTGACAGGTTTTCACTAGAAAATAACATGGAGGAATCAAGTGAAATAGAAACATAAGTTCTTTTAGCAACAGTTACGTGTATTGCTCGCTGTAGAACCAGCGGATCAGTAAAATGTAATATAGTGAATGCGATGCTTGTTTTCTTGACTGCATATCTTATAATATTCTAGAGATTTTGAGCTAATGTTACATTTCCATTATTATCTTAGACATGTAATTGAATTTTGATACGGTTTTCATGGAGATGCATATTAGAGCATTTTCAACAAGTTTGTAAAAAAAAATAGATTGAGTTAATAGGTATTATGCCCAAACGAACGGTGGCCCATCTCGCCCCGTATGGTCTTCTTGCCCCCATCGCCTCTATTGGACTGAATTCGGAAACGCTCATGTCCAACCGGTTTCGTTTTGGGCTGGAAATTTTCTATAGTAACATATTTAAAAAATCTGGGAAAATCCGGAACAAAATTAAAAATTCTTGAAATAAACGTATTAACATATAAGTGAATTATATCAAGAGCAAATTTTCATTATGTCGTAAGTAACATTCGCACCGATCCGAGAAAAATTAAGTTTTGTTTTGATAACCGAAAAGTTATTCCTATTTCCAATTAAACACATATAATCTCATAGTGATTGCAATGTTTAACATATTTAGCCGGATTTTAATCATAAAAATGCAAACCGCTAGCTTTCATGCTAAAAAATACTGGTTTTTGAGTCAAAAGTTATTATACGTCGTTTGGTGGCCCTTATTGTTACTTAAGTCAAAGTGTATTTACCAGGATATTCGGGAGAATTATCAATTACGTCTCCTTGCGTGCAGCCCATTCATCATTTTAGGACCACCGAAATCATCTTAGCAACAAACAGTTCGATTTTTTCACTTTAATAATGAGAAAGCAAAACGACGAAAGTACACTTTTCACGGGTTTCTCAGTACTGTTACTTAAGGCAAACGGCATCTCCATAGAAATCGGGTGACTTAAGTAACATCGAAAACTATTTTGATCGGAAGGTGATTACGTCAAAAAGCAATTTGACTGGTAAATACATTTAAAAATGGAATGTGATCCTATATTCGGACAGTATACCCAAGTAACAATTTTGGTTTTATGAGGGTTCTGTAGATCAGAATTTAGACTTGTAGAATGCTATAAAACCTCGATAAAACCTGCAATGTTACTTGGGTATAGTGTAATAGCAGGAGCATCGATTGACACTGATAGCTCGACTTTGTTTACCTTTGTTACATTCGACGTAATGAAAATTTGCTCTTGATATCTGGGTTAGTATCTGGCAAGACGATTGAAAATCTGGAAAATCAAATAAATCAGGAATACTGGCAACGCTGTCTCGTTTTATGCCCGTAGAGACAACCGACACTCATCCCATTTTCAGTATTTTGCTACCCACAGTATTTATTGTACCGTCCCTGTATTCATAATATGCTACTCGACGCAGGTATAAAACCACCCTCGACGGTCGAAATGTCATCATTACAGTTTCAGCATCGAACTGTTCGAGTCGTTCGTTGCATAATGTCTGGACGTGGAAAAGGAGGCAAAGTCAAGGGAAAGGCAAAGTCCCGTTCGAGCCGCGCTGGATTGCAGTTTCCAGTCGGTCGTATTCACCGTCTACTCCGAAAGGGCAACTATGCCGAGCGTGTTGGAGCCGGTGCTCCCGTCTACCTGGCTGCTGTGATGGAGTATCTGGCCGCTGAAGTTCTCGAGTTGGCAGGAAATGCCGCTCGTGACAACAAGAAAACCCGAATTATCCCACGTCACCTGCAGTTGGCCATCCGCAACGACGAAGAGCTGAACAAACTTCTTTCCGGAGTGACCATCGCTCAGGGTGGTGTCCTGCCAAACATCCAGGCCGTCCTGTTGCCCAAGAAGACCGAAAAGAAGGCCTAAATTCGATCCAAGTTCCTACCCTTTAACAAAATCCGTCCTTTTCAGGACGACCAATTTGATGGTAAAGAGTTTCGTTTTCAAAACAGTTTCCTTCGTGGTGCGCAAGGAGTGATAAAATGAATCCATTAAAAACATGGTTGAATCTTTCTGTCATGCTCTCCCTAGTTAATTGATATCCTCATCGAGTAGGTTCGATGATGGTTGATGGGCCCAATCTTAGATCCATTTCTCCTACCTTGCAGAGCTGCGGTGGCCCTGGACTTATGGCCTACATTGATGCAGCGGAATGAAATTCATTAGCAAATTACGGTTGAGATTTCAGAAATGATCATGGTGTGCGTCCAATTTGAAGTGTGGTGTGATTTCTGATAATGTATTAGTACCTCTGGAAGTGAATTAAACATAGCTAAAAATCCCACCACAAAATCACATGAATATCAGGAGGACGATGAAAGTCATGAAAAAAGTGTCGGAAAGGCATTAGAAAATTAATCGTTCAACTCTTTCTTGATAATGTTGTGGCCCTGAAAAGGGCCATTTTTCCAACGCGCTCGGCGTAGTTGCCCTTTCGCCCCCAGGCTCTGCTGCTGTTGCTCTGCTTCCGCTGCTCTGGTACTGCTGCTCTGCTGCTGGGTCGACGATCGGATAGACAATCATGGAACGGGCGACCTTCTTGGACGCTTATATAGTAGAACAGAAAATATCAGAGGTGTCAGATACTCGCATCTGATGTCTCGGTTGGAGAAAGTATAAGAATATAAAAAAATCAATCGATTTTCATCATCTTTAGACAATGGTTTACTTTTAACCATTTTTCAATAGTTTACAGAATGAAATCAATAGTTTTGAAATATTCAGCAAATTGCTAGAAATATTTCCAATCGATTGATGCCATTATCTCGTAAATCTATCGAGAGACGGTTGAGTTATTATCGTTCAAAATCTTTTAATTTTTCGTAACTCATCCAAAATGACTGTTTTCAATTTTGTACCCCCGTATGTTGCCGAAAGACGTTATCCAACGTCAAAAACATCCATTCTGGTAGACTATCTCTTAAATGTATACAGAATAGCCATTGCTTAAGCTCCCGTTTCCCACCAGTCAGTTAACTGACCTTAGCTAACCTAATATCATTGTGGCAACTCTCTATGCGGCAGGGGAACTATGCCATTAGCGCGCTAAGAGTTGTTAGACCACTGACATAGGCGCCTATTCGTAGGTGACGAGGCACTTGGTGACATTACAGCAAGCTTGGCGATTGTTATAGCATTTTTGAGTGAACTACCAGACAATCATGACAATAAGATCGCTGCGCCTCCAGATCTCCCTTTAAATCGACCCGCTGTGCCAATTTGTCAATAATGCATGACACTTTGGACGTGGATCGGGATGATCCACAAATGCGGAAAGTTTTGGGCTACCAGTCTTCTACCTAATTGACGAACTGCAAATATATAATAAATAAAATTATTGTGCATGAAAAATATGACAATGTACAATGCTCGAGGAACACTGGGAGTTTTCGAACGACGCGTGCTTAGGAATGCCAGACAACAATCCCGCAAAAATGGTGTTTTCCTCAAATCCGGCCGGTACAAGACAAAGAAAAGTACAGCGTGCTAGGTGGTTAGACCAAGTGGAGCAAGATGTAGGAAGTGTGGGATGCTCGAGAAATTGGAGACAAGCAGTCAGGGACCGAGTTAGTTGGCGCAACTTTGTTATACAGGTCAAATCTTGAGGGACGTCGGACCAGCAAAAGTAAAGTAAGTATCTTATACGTTTGCCAACATTCCACGACAATATATGATTAGGTTTTCACTTGGTATGTAATGAACAACAGAGATACGCGATAATTCGTATAGTTTCTGCGATTGATGGTTAATTTTAAATGTACGTATAGTACTAAAGGGTGATACGGTCAAAATTTGGTCAATATCAACTTGACGTATTTCTTTCAATTTTGCATTTAAAAAACCTGAACACCCCTCATTTTGAAGGTGTGTGTGTGTCGAATGTTGCTCCTATTTTGATTTTGGAATTCACTCTTCAGTTGTCAAAATGCCGTCCAAGCAAGAAGAGCAGCGTATCAAAATTTTGCTCGCGCATCGCGAAAATCCGAGCTACTCGCACGCAAAGTTGGCAAAATCGCTAAAAGTTGCCAAATCAACCGTTACAAATGTAATTAAAGTGTTTGGGGAACGTTTGTCGACAGCCAGGAAGTCTGGATCGGGGGGAAATCGAAAACCGGAAGCCGCTGAGACGACAAAGAGAGCTGCCGGTAGTTTCAAGCGAAACCCTAACCTCTCTCTCCGAGATGCCGCAAATAAGCTGGGTGTATCGTCTACAACCGTGCATCGAGCCAAAAAACGAGCCGGACTATCGACTTACAAGAAGGTAGTGACTCCAAATCGCGATGATAAACAAAATACGACGGCCAAAGCGCGATCCCGGAGGCTGTACACGACGATGCTGACGAAGTTTGACTGCGTGGTAATGGACGACGAAACCTACGTCAAAGCCGACTACAAGCAGCTTCCGGGACAGGAGTCTTATACGGCAAAAGGAAGAGGAAAGGTAGCAGATGTTTTCAAGCACATGAAACTGTCAAAGTTCGCAAAGAAATATCTGGTTTGGCAAGCCATCTGTACCTGTGGCTTGAAAAGCAGCATTTTCATAGCTTCCGGGACTGTCAACCAAGAAATTTACGTGAAAGAGTGTTTGAATAAACGTCTGCTGCCTTTCCTGAAGAAACACGGTTGTTCCGTACTGTTTTGGCCGGATTTGGCATCTTGCCATTACGGTAAAAAGGCCATGGAGTGGTACGCCGCCAACAACGTGCAGGTGGTTCCCAAGGACAAGAACCCTCCCAACACGCCAGAGCTCCGCCCAATTGAGAAATACTGGGCTATTGTCAAGCGGAACCTAAAGAAGACCAAAAAAACTGCTAAGGGCGAGCAGCAGTTCAAGGCAAACTGGCTTTCTGCGGCGAAGAAGGTGGACAAGGTGGCTGTACAAAATCTGATGGCAGGGGTCAAGCGTAAGGCCCGGCAATTCGGATTTGGAAAAGCGGAAGCCTAACTGAATATTTTTCCTGAATTTTATACTAATTGAACTTGAAAAAGAAATTTAATTTGATTTTTTAAATAAACGATTTCACCGATTTACACGCGTTTTCCCTTGACCAAATTTTGACCGTATCACCCTTTATATAACAGCATAACTGGATCGTCATGTTCACCATCTGTCATTGTCTGCAAAAATATTTAATAGCAGTTACCTGTGTTGTGATACTTCCTTCAATGAAAACTAATTTTCTTGCATTGCCATGGTCATCTGGGATGAGGCTGGTCCACTGATCATTCGGAATGAGCTCTCCACACATCATTGAATCAATGTAGGATCAATGTAGATATGTAGATATCAATGTACATAGATGGTGTCATATGCAAAGTGCGAAAAGAGAATGAAAGAAATACGAAAAAGATTAGCATCAAGAAGTAACAGTTTCATCGGATTAGTCACCAAGTCCCTCACCACTGCTATCTGCAGCCCTATCACTCCCATCCCCACGATTGCGGAAGAGAATAATAAAGTTCTTGATTTAATTTAAAGAAATTAATATTTAATATCGGGATCCGTATTCGGTTTCCCCATCGGGATCCGTATTCGGTTTCCCCATTGGGACCCGTACTCGGTTTCCCCATCGGGATCCGTATTCGGTTTCCCCATCGGGATCCGTATTCGGTTTCCCCATCGGTATTCGTATTCGGTTTCCCCATCGGGATCCGTCTACGGAATCCCTATTGAGATGCGTATTCGGTTTCCCCATCGGGATCCGTATTCGGTTTCCCCATCGGGATCTGTATTCGGTTTCCCCATCGGGATCCGTATTCAGTTTCCCCATTGGGACCCGTACTCGATTTCCCCATCGGGATTCATATTCGGTTTCCCCATCGGGATCCGTATTCAGTTTCTCCATTGGGACCCGTACTCGATTTCCCCATCGGGATTCGTATTCGGTTTCCCCATCGGGATCCGTATTCGGTTTCCCCATCGAGATCCGTATTCGGTTTCCCCATCGGGATTCGTATTCGGTTTCCCCATCGGGATCCGTCTACGGAATCCCTATTGGGATGCGTATTCGGTTTCCCCATCGGGATCCGTATTCGGTTTCCCCACCGGGATCTGTATTCGGTTTCCCCATTGGGACCCGTACTCGATTTCCCCATCGGGATTCATATTCGGTTTCCCCATCGGGATCCGTATTCGGTTTCCCCATCGGGATTCGTATTCGGTGTTCCCATCGGGATTCGTATTCGGTTTCCCCATCGGGATCCGTATTCGGGTTCCCCATCGGGATTCGTTTTCGGTTTCCCCATCGGGATTCGTATTCGGTTTCCCCATCGGAATCCGTCTACGAAATCCCCATCGGGATCCGTCTACGGAATCCCCATCGGGATCCGTATTCGGTTTCCCCATCGGGATCCGTATTCGGTTTCCCCATTGGGACCCGTACTCGATTTCCCCATCGGGATTCGTATTCGGTTTCCCCATCGGGATCCGTATTCGGTTTCCCCATCGGGATTCGTATTCGGTTTCCCCATCGGGATCCGTCTACGGAATCCCTATTGGGATGCGTATTCGGTTTCCCAATCGGGATCCGTATTCGGTTTCCCCATCGGGATCCGTATTCGGTTTCCCCATCGGTATCCGTATTCGGTTTCCCCATCGGGCTCCGTATTCGGTATCCCCATCGGGATCCGTATTCGGTTTGCCCATCGGGATCCGTATTCGGTTTCGCCATTGGGACCCGTACTCGGTTTCCCCATCGGGATCCGTATTCGGTTTGCCCATCGGGATCCGTCTACGGAATCCCTATTGGGATGCGTATTCGGTTTCCCCATCGGGATCCGTATTCGGTTTCCCCATCGGGATCCGTATTCGGTTTCCCCATTGGGACCCGTACTCGGTTTCCCCATCGGGATCCGTATTCGGTTTCCCCATCGAGATCCGTATTCGGTTTCCCCATCGGGATTCGTATTCGGTTTCCCCATCGGGATCCGTCTACGGAATCCCTATTGGGATGCGTATTCGGTTTCCCCATCGGGATTCGTATTCGTTTTCCCCATCGGGATCTGTATTCGGTTTCCCCATCGGGATCCGTATTCAGTTTCCCCATTGGGACCCG